GCTGCTTCTTCACTAAGATGACATGGGTCGATCTGTCTTGGGGATTGTTTAGTGGTTGTTTGGAGAAGCTTTGGTATGTGACCAGGTTAATTGAAAGATCTATCAACAATGTGGTCCAAAAAGCTGTTTGACACAGGAAGTGGGGCCGTCCTGTTGATACAAAGATCCAGGATGACCCACAATACCTTGTATCTTTTGACTCGTCGTATTCTGGTATGCTAGGGACATGCAGGATGTTTAGTACCAGCCACTTTTCCAGATTGGCGAAATACATGGACATGACAGGATAAGACAGGATAAGTTGAATGATTTAACCCCTGAATCATATAGGGGCGCTCCGTGGACGAATGTTCCAAAGCTTTGAGGTAGCGATGGGTTTTGTTGCAAAGCTCCCTGACTAGGACAGACTAGAGCTTCCCGTCAACAAGAATGAAGTATCTAGACTAACCGACCCATAGGGTCCAAGTACGAACTGGGTACTTGGGTTTTGCGCAATAGAAATTATAGTACAGGTTTTGGGTGAGCAATGTACCTGTAGACAGGGGTATTTCAGGACTCTTCAAGTACCCTTACAACGGGTCCGTGAAGGTCTTATTCGCGAGTATTTCTACAAGGTTCCTGAAAATGATTTTTAATTTCTGTTACCTAAAATCCTAATATTTAGCTGAAATTATAATTTCTACTGGGGTTCCAAATCCCTTAGAGATTTGGGCTCTATACAGGGTAGCTTGGTCAGTTGCACCTTAAGGCCTGGCCAAGACAAGCCCCGCATATGCCCCATGTGAGCGCTAATCTGAACTCCTGTTAAAGGTGGCTATATCATATAGGGGACTATACTACAGGGGCCATTAAGGGGGATACTAGGAGCTTGAGCTAGACTACAGCTCGTATCATCTGCAAACAGTCCGAACTCCCCAACGCCTGCATAACCTTGGTAATTGGGACGCCTGCCTGACTCCCCCCCAAAACCATAAAGACAAAAAAAGGAGCGCCTAAAACAACAAACTTGTCTTTATCTTAGTGTATGGCCTGTGACCTGTGCAGCGACGTAGGGGAGAGTGAGATTTCAGTGGATCGCTTGATATCAAGGGCTAAGGGTTTAGGGGAGGCTTTTCGGGAATGGGGTTATGTTTGGGAGGTGCTGGCCTCAGCCCTTGACCCCCAAAACCCACCTGTAGGCTTTTTGTCAGCCCTAAGGTATACAAATCAGATTTATTTTGGGCGCCAATGGTGTCTATTTCGTGCTTTTTGGAGCCGAAGCCAAGAAAGGTATAGCAACCACTTCCTCCGAACGAAGCAGTTCAATGCGGAGCAGCGGAACGGAGGAAACCTTGTACGCCAACTGTTGGCGGAGCAAATTCTTCCAATTCTTGATTCGGTGTGCAAGGTGGTGCTTGGCACTGTATTGACCAGATGGTAGTTTCCAGGAACAGGGAACACAAATCCAGTACATCATATTTAAGTTCTTATGGGTACATCCAGAAAGGGCGATATTCTGCTTCCAGATTTTGTCATTGTTGTCATGGGTTATGGGTACCCCAAAAGGGTACTTAAGACCCCCAATATTTGGGCACCTGGACCTTTAAGGAAAGGGCACCAGTAGTTTTCGGAGGTGAATTTCAGAGCTTCATGGGACTTCAGGTCTACGCAGCAACGGTAGCGCGAGCGCAGCCAGGGGCTCTCCTGAAGCGTGCGAGATTGTTCTGACACGCCTAGACCATTTGAGACCATTTGAGAAACAAGTTGTGAGCATCTAAACCTCCTAGCAAATAGGTGTCGGACGGTGCAGTCACTTTACTTGCTGTGATTCCTGAGATTCAGGCGTCCTAAACCATGCCTAAACCCACGCACGAAGAGTTTCAAGGTTATGTATCACGGAGTCCAGGACACAACATTTTCGAAAGGTGGATGTGTGTAGGGCACAGGTAAACTCCTGAATTTGTGAAATGATCAAAGTTTAGGATGCCGGGAGGTGCGCCGCAAATCCGCAGAAAACCCTCCTTAATCTAGCACCCGGCATGCATAGCCCTAAGCTTCCCATAATGGTTTTCCAAAAATGACGGGTACTTTTTTGGGGGGGGGGGGGGGGGGNNGGGGGGGGGGGTGGTGTTGTTGGCCTGTACAATTGTAACTGCTTCGGCTGTTGGGCTGCAGATGACAGAAGCAGAATACAAGGCTGATTTGACCAGAGAAACTGGACCGCCCTGCAGCCTGTTCCGTATGTGAAGGCTGTAGCGCATCAGTTGCATCCCAGCTGGCAGCAGGGTAGACCAAATACCCAGAACATTTTGTATTTTCAGAGGTGTCGGGGCAAGATTCCATGGATTGCGGGTAGGCAGAGAGGGGACTGGATGGGAGGCTCCACGAGCCACTCTAGCTCAATAGAGAGGAGAATCAATGACTGATTAATTGGTAATTTCCCAAAATAGGGGGACCCCAATATAGACCCCAATATATTATTGTCCTTATTATGGGGACCCCCAAGAGGGTACCCCTAATTTTGGGAAATCCCCAATTAGAGTTTTCACTGTACCGT